ATGTCCATCTGTCTTGTCATCTGGGCTCCCTCTCTGTGCCTCCCAGCTATCCACTCACCAAACCCTGGACTCGCCTCCCAAGTAACCCCAGCTCCCCTTTCAGTCTGCCGGTTCTAATCCCAGCTCCGGTCCAGAAAAGTGATGCTCCCCCTCTATGCAACTTTGGTCAGGCCGCAGTTGGAGTACTGCATCCAGTATTGGGCACCGCACTTCAAAAGGGATGTGGCCAGCCAGGAGAGGGTTCAGAGGAGGGTCACCCACTCGGTGAGAAGACAGCAGGACAGGCCCTATGAGGAGAGTGTGAAGGACCTGAACCTGTTCAGCCTCAGCAAGAGGAGGCTGAGGGGGCGGGACCTGGTGGCTGCCTACAAGCTCATCAGGGGGAAATCAACAGCAAGTAGGCAGAGCCCTTTTCTCCCCAGCAGCACCTGGGATGACAAGGAACAACGGTAATAAGCTGATGGAGAATTGGTTTAGGTTAAAGATCAGAAGGCAATATTTTATAGTTAGGGTGGCCAAAATCTGGAACCAACTTCCCAGCAAAGTGGTCCTCACCCCTACCTTGGGCAAATTCAAGAGGAGGTTGGATGATCACCTGTCTGGGGTCATTCGTCCCTGCCTGTGGCAGGGGGTCAGGCTAGATGATCTGTTCAGGTCCCTCCTGACCCTAGCTACTATGAACTTTCACTATCTTATTTTTTCCTCTCTTCTTAACCCCCATCCATCTCCCTCTTTCCACACTCCTTACAGAACTCCTTGACCCTCGACTCCCTCCCATAGTCACCAAGCACCCTAGGTATCCTAAGTACCCCAAGCATACACATACCACACCACCCAAGTTAGGAACTCACTTGAATTGGTGATACGTGTGCATGTGCTTAAACTGGTAATCTTGGATGTGCGTTGTGTGCGCGCGCGCACGCGTGCCCAACTGATTTTTGGGCGTGTATATGTTGTGTGCGCGTATTGTGTGTCACACCTTCCCGCCTAACAGCACAATTTTGAGATCCTGAGAGTTGGCTTGGCCCTACAGGACCACCCCAGCTTGTGGGTGTGCTCCAAGAAGGGGGATGGCTGAATGCAGGCACCCCAGGGAGACTTCCAAAGCATGGTTTTGGGCCTGGCACAAAAGCAGGGGGGCTGGACCCGATGATCTGTAAGGTCCCTTCCAGTCCCTAATAACTATGAAAGCAATTCTAGTTGAATTAGTACTGTCTAGGTATTTGGTTGTTCTGGTGGCAAAGGTTAGGGCAGGGGTGGGCAAAACACAGCCCGCCAGCCCATTCTATCCGGCCCTTGGTTGTATTTGGTTGTTCTGAATGACTAAAGGGACACTTGGGGAAATGTTTTCCCCAAAGGTTCCATTCACTAAATCAGCCAGGCTGCATCACCTCTCCTAGTTATATTTCAAACACCTCAGTGACAAAGTCATAAAATCTCTTGCATTCCGTTAGGATTGTATTGCATTGACACCTATGCCTTCATGCAAAATAAATATCAAGGTTTTCTTCCAGGAATTCCCACTAAATGGATTGCTGGAACCCAGATTAACACACCTGACTAAGACTGGACACAAGGCTGGCAAGCCATTTGTATTCATCCATGTTAACCTTCTTTTCTCCCCTTCTAAAATAGGTTTTAGAATTATTTCATTCAAATGTCAGTGGGTGCATCTACATGTGCACACTGCTGCAGAGTAAACTAATTAGCTCTGCAGTAAAGCATCACTGTCTACATGTGTACCTGTATTAGGACACAGTAAACTAATTAACTCCATCATACACTAATACTACCAAGAACAGAACTACCTTATGACAGAGTACTTCACTGAACTGAAACGCAAGTGTAGATGCTGACCAGGGGCATAAACTGTGTCCGGTCAAGCCAGCCAGTCAGAGGCCTGCTCTGCCCTGGCTCAAATTGCTGCTTGTCCTAGACCCATCTGTAGACACTGCACCCGGGTACAGTTTACCCGGGCTTGAACCGTTCCAGAGTTTATCATGTCATATTAAGAGTGCATGCCCAGATATACCCAATTATCTTTCTAAACAAAAATGTAAAAAAGCTTGTTTTAAAAAAGAAACTGCTTTAAAACATGAAACATGCCAGAGCCAAGTTTATGTAATTGTTCATCAAGGATTAAAATCTCTCCTGAAGACAAACACCCACAGCATTTTTACTTTTTTCTTTGAATATCAGATTTAGTTAGGGACCTTTAAGTTACTCAAATGTATTTGTACAAATACGGTGGTAATTCATTCAACACAAAATAAGAACCAAGAAGAATAAGTTACCCTCCTCAAGCTATAGAATTGTGCTTTCTAGCTGAGTAAATATTGGACTGTGGAATGAGCATTAGTACTGTTTTGTACTAGGAACTCCCTCATGCCAAGTTACACAGCTCTCCATATTCCTCCCATTGACACAAGGGAGACATAGATGTACACTTAAGCATATTTCGTAATATGAAATATATGCCAAGATCATTATCTCGGAATGTCCACCCCCACAATGTGCCTCTAGGCAGTGTTTCAGAGAACTACAGGGTTGGAAGGCAATGAGTGTCATTTGTCCAAACCTCTTAACTCCTAGGTCGTCCTAAACAGAGGTCTATACAGCCTCTTGAAAATCTCCAAGGAATAAAAAGCGTGGAATCTCCTAGGCAGTTTTTCCCCACTGTTCTTAAAGTAAAAAGCTAGCTTTTTTCTGAAAGAGAACCTATCTACTTTACTAAAGCCTAAACCAGAGGTGGGGAATTATTAAGTGGCCCAGCAGCCTGAATGAGTTTTGGCAAGCTGTCAAGGGCCGTGCACATAAAATCTTTTAGAAGATATCATTTTAACAAATTACAGATAAAAAACAAAGCATATACTTTAAACAAAAAACAAAAAAAACCCTCAAACATCTGCTATAACATACTTTAATTTTATTTTAAGAAGAATTTTTGTCCCAATTTAATTTGAGAAGTATTATAGAGATGAGCGCATACCAGCATAAAATAAAGTCTTACTCTTGTATATTGTGGGGGGAGTTGGGGGGAGGGGAAAAGCAGTGCATGTGTGTAGGTAGGGTGGGGTGGGGGGCAGAGTGTGTGTGTGTGTGTGTGTGGGGCGGAGTGGGTGTGTGTGTGTGTGTGTGTGTGTGTGTGTGTGTGTGTGTGTGTGTGGGTGGGTGGGTGTGGGGTGGGAGCTCCCAACACCCTTGATGCTGCAAGTCAGCAAGGATGAACAGAGGTGGGGAGGGGCATGTGCAGAGCTTGCCCAGACAGGGCAGTACAAGTGCAGGTGCAGTCTACCATCCCCTCCTTACTCCCCCTAGACACCCATCCAGCCTGCAGTTGCCCCCACAGCACTCTGCATGGGGCCAAACCCCACCCGCTCCTACCCAGAGCAGCCCACACCACAATCCCACCCACATTCACGCGAGCTCGTCAATGGGCCCAGCCCCAGTCAGCACACGCAGCTTCCTGGCAGGGCTGCTTCTGCACAGGTACTGCTTGGCTCCTGCTACCTCCAGCAACTCCTCTTCCTGCCCCTGCTGTGCCACTCCAGCTGCCTTTCACCCACTCAGCTGCCCACAGGTGGCTGCTCATTGTACTGAGTGGGCAGAGTAGGTAGAAAGCAGCTGGGATCTGGATCCCTATACACTGGGGCAGGAGCTGCATGGCTGCAGCTTTACCCCTGCCTAGCTGGGTGCATGGAGTCTGGCACACATCCCCACAGGTGCTTCTGCTTCTCCATACTACCTGCTGCCCAGAGCACCACGTTGGCACAGTACAGGATAGGGCTGCAGGCCTCAGTGGCCCTGAGCCAGGCTGGACTGGACCATGAGGAAGAGTATTAACCCAGTTCAGATGCTCAGCAAAGATCCTGCCTATTCTCGCCTGCCACATCTTGATGTTGAAGGTTTGCTTGTCAGGAGGTGGTTTGCTCCTATCTGTTGGGGGCCCAGTTCTTCTTTTGGGCTTATACCCCATTCAAATCCACCCAGTTGTTAATGTCTTCCCTTGGCTCTCAAAGGGCATTTTCTTTCTTTTCTTTGACCTGTAGGCCTGCAGTTGCCTTGGGCCTGACTCCAGGACATGACAGCTATGTTGGCCCCAATGGTTACTGTGTTAAGGCTCGTTAAGTAGAAGAGACATGAAGAACATAACAAAGCAGGAAATTGGAACTCGGGCAAGTCTCTCAGCTGCTAGGGCAGGGGAAGGCAAAATGCAGCCCGTGGGCTGGATGTGGCCCACCAAGCTATTCTATCCAGCCCGCAAGTCCCCTAAAAAAAAAAAAAAAAATTTAGAAAAATTAATATTAAATCTGCCCTGGGCTGCCTGTCATGCGGCCCTCGATGGTCTGCCAAAACTCAGTAAGCAGCCCTCCACCCAAAATAATTGCCCATCCCTGCCCTAAGGCAATTATGACCTCTGGTGGCAACCTCCCACTACAGAACACCGTGTTCCTGAGGGGGGGCAGGCTCTTCCCCAAAGCCCAGTCCTACCGAATAAAGTAAAATCAAAGAGAACATAGAAAAAACCCTGGCCAATTTTACCTTCAAGCTTGGGCGATTACTTTGATCCTAGACACTTTGGCATTGGTTCCCCAGCGCCTCCTAAATGGAGGTCTGTTCCCACCAAGGGATGGGCCTTTTCCTGGCCCTTCATTAACTACTAGCCAACTGTCCGTCAAAAATGACAGGGGCGAGGCCAGCTCCCGCACCCCGTCAGCTTTGGAATCCCCCACCCCCTATCCCCCAGCGCGGCTTTGGAATGCGTGGAGCACACCGACTGGCTGTTTCCTTCAGCCAGTCAGAGTGCGAATAAAGCGTGACAGACACACACGGACTTTTACAATACTTCTCCCAAGGAAGGGAGCACAGCTTTTGTCCCAGCTTCTCTACAGCTCCAGCCAGGTGCTGGCTTCTCCCTCTCCCTTTTCCGGGTAGCAGAGACTCAGCCCAATAGGCTGCCCCACTAAAAGTGGACATGAAAGGAAACGCAAATGAAAAACCTTGTTCAAAGTGCTGCTGACTTTCTCACGGTCACTTCATCACCCAGTGCAGCTTCCAGTTGGCTCTCCTTGCCTTCCTTGCTGCTGCCAGCTTGGCATCAGTGTCCCAGGCTATTGGAGCTCCTGGACTAAGAATCAGCCCTTTCTCCCATCTCTGTTCTGGCGTCCTGATGCTCCAGCATTGGGGCTTTCCTCCAGAGTCCTTCCTGCCCACCGTCCGGTCTTAGTAGTGGACCAGAAATACCAGTGCAGCTGCAGGGAGGTCCAATCCAGATTGAACAGCTGCTAATAAAGCAGGGCTCCCACAGCAGCTTCCAGTCTCTTGCTCTTGCCAGCTCCGGCAAGTCAGGTGACTTGTTTCTCTCGGGGGCTGGGGATTTAAGAGGGGCTTTTCTTGCCTCTTCACAGCGCAGCAGGGCAGGAGAAAGAGGAGCCTCTGGAAGCAGAAAAGGCCAAGCAGCAGCTGGAGCAGCCCTGCCAGAAAGCTGTGCATACTGGCCAGGGATGGGGCCAGAGTAGTTGGCAGGCACAAGCGAAGCTCAGGCTGCCCCAGGTGGGAGCATGCAGGGCTTGGCCCCATGCAGAGAACCACAGGGGCAGCCATGGGATGAATGCAATCAATTGGTGGGCCAGATGTGGCCTGTGGGCCGTATTCTGCCCACCCCTGGCTTAAACCCATTCATGTGTCCTGCCACTTCTGGCAAGAAAGGATAATGTTTCTCCATCTTCTCTATGGAAGCCTTTCAAATATTTAAACTGCTATCATGTCCCCTATTAAATATCCTTGTCCCCATACTAAACTTAAAAACTCCTCTGTTCAACCATTCCTCACTATTTCCTTCCCAATCCCCTTCCATCACCTTTTGCCACCCTCCTCCAGATCCTCTTGTTTCTCCATCTCCTTTTTATAACGTGGTGCCCAAAACTAGATCCAGTACTGTACTGTAGCCTAACCAGTAACTAGTAGAGTGGCTCTGTCACTTCACATTGCTGACTCATGCCGAGATCTTTCCCAGCAGCATACTATCAAGCTGGTTATTTGTTGGACTTTTTTGTTCTCCCTTCAGAATAGCACCTTACTTTTAGGCTTCGTTGAATTTTACTCTCATTCCTAGTTATGTGTCATCGAGAAATTTAAATCAGTTCACTCTATTTCTGCACCCAAATCCCCAACTGAAAGAAAAAACGTTAAATACCACTGAACCTAGAACAAACCCCAGTGCAACTTCATATGACACCTCCTGCCAGTCTAACAATCAAACAACTAAGTTACTTGGTGCTCACAGTAATACATTTACCTAGTGGTGGTTCAGTCTAGCACAGTTGTTCTCAACTTTTTTTGGACCAGGATCCATTTGAAAAACATTGATGTCCAGTCCCAACCCAGTGACCCTCACTCTCAGCCCGCTGCCCCCCCCATCCCCAGCTCCCCAGTGTGTGGGGCACAGGGGGACCCCAGGCAGCCCCTTCCTAGCTAGAACTCTGCCAGCCGGTTGTTTGCAACCCTTTCACATATTCTTGCGACCCAATTTTGGGATGTGACCCATGGGTTGAGAAATGCTGATCTAGCACACATTCCTCCAGCTTATTTATCACAAAAGCATGTTTGCCACCAACAATGGGCATGTTACATCCCTATGTTTGCCAGTGGGCTTCTGGGAGGAATGAAACACAATATTTTTCTAGGTTAACTTAGGGAAAGTCACATGAAACTGGAAAGTAGGAAGAAAATATTAACATTTCTCTGGCTGATTAATTCTGCACAGTTTAAAGTCCACTGAGCAACACCTTGTACCTATGGACCTACTTAAATTTGCCATTTCACAAATTTTGCAGAAACTGCAAAGTCTGGAATCATCTGCAAAATCAACAAAAAGAACAAAGCTTTAACACAAAATGCTGGCTCCCCAGTGGAAACCAGCATTCCTCACCACCAGGAGGGGAAGGCGGTGGCAGCTGGCAGGGTGGCAGACAAGATGACAAGCGCCCCCTTGTCCCTCCTTCTCCCTGCCAGCAACTCGGCCAATCAGCACCGAGGGGAGCAGCAGCAAAAAGAGCAACCAGCAATCAAGTTGGCAGCCACTTGTCATCCTTTCTACCGACCACCCCCACCAGGGCCCTTCCACCAATCACTGCTGAGGAGCGGGGCTGCTGCAAAATGCCCATTAAAAAAAAAAACAAAAAAACAAAAACAACCAGCTCTGCAGGCCACAAAACCCTTTGTCTTTCTGCAGTTTAGGTAGGTCCTTACTTATATCCCTGTCAGGGTGTGGGGCCCCTAGGGATGGCCGTGGTGTCTCTGGGGCTCTGTGACCATGCCAACCCTGCCCTATGGGCAACCTTTTTCTTTCCTGCCACATCTTTCCGGTAATTATCATAAATAGGGAGGCTGCCCTCGAGTTTATGTTTGGACACTGTCCTGATGGACCCCACTGAACACTGTGGGTTCCTTGACCCCTTTTTGGTTCCTGCTCTAAATGGATGCCTCACAGGACACCCTCAGCTTTATGGGCTAGAGGCGTGGCTCCAAAACTTCCCCTTTACCAGGCCCCATGCCTCGCAGATGGTATTCAAACCTGGTCCCTCTGAGGCCTTGATATAACTTGGGCCTCCCTTCGTCACTGGGTCCTCCGCAGCCCTGTCTCTGAGCCCACACGGGCTCTGGGCCTGCTGGTGCTGCGGTCTCCACACTGTAGTGTGCCCCAGTAAGGCCTCCTCCTCCTCAATAGTCTCAGCCCAGTCCACTGGTTTAAATAACAATGGATAACACAAGCTCCTAGGCTATAACTTAATACAAACAGTGCAAGGTGCGCTCTGCCCCTTTAAAAGAGTCAAACTTCCCCCCAAGCATTAAGTACCTTGTAACCCAGGGTACCTGGTGGGCTCCAGGAGCCCCATTAGCCCTGTAAGCAGCATACCAGGCAGCCCCAGCATCTCTGGGCAGTTCTTTTCTGCCGGAGCTTCATCCCCTGGCTGCTGCCAGGGAACTAACCCTTGCCAGCCTCAACCCTAGGGTTTATATGGACCCAGTGCCCTGCCTTCTTCCAATCAGCTGACTGGGTGCAGGTGCAGGCTAATTCACCTCATTAGCCTGCTGCCATAGTAACCTGCACCTGTGGGGTTTCTGCCTGGCTCCTAGGGCTCTCTCTAGGAAGACTGTCCTTAAAGGAGCAGGCACCTTGGTGCTCTGTGACACCCCCCTTCATTAACAAATAGACATTGAAACCTTGACAGTATAATGAATAATCTGCAAAGGTTATTTCTGGAAAAACAACTTTAAACAATGGTTTCAGAGACTTATTATCTGAGCAAAAGTGGGTGAATTTTCATGGGTGTAACGTATCCCGAAACTAACCCCTCCCCTGACAAATGTTGAGTTCCTATACATAAAAAACCACACAAACAAATGAACGTAGGTTACTGCAATTTTTATAATATTAGGACTACTGCCCCCCCCCACCACCACCACCTCCACCACCACCCATTTTCAGAAATGGCTGAGCTTTTTTTTTTCCCCCCCCAGAATGCTCTACATTTCAGTGGATGAAAGGGAACAAAAAAATTAAGCAACTAAAGCAGGCTCTTACAAGTCATCACCTGTAACTCCACATATAGTACAGGGGAACTAGACTAAGTATAAACTTGAGCATTTTGGATATTATAGGCATTGTACACTTAGCAACTACATGGGTTAGTGGGCAAGAAAGGAGATGGTGCTTTGCATGTCACACATCTAAAAACCACAAGACAATGAACAGTCACTCCCTCTCCCATCATAGAAATACCTCTGGGCACAGAGCTGTGCTTCCTGCAGTTCCCCTCCTAGTTATGCTGGGGGGGGGGGGTGCTTTGGAAGGGGGGGGGAAAAAAAAAAATCACTACACACAGATCTACACTTTAACTCTTGAAAAAAGAAAAAAAACAACACAGGATAAGAAAAAACAATTTTAAACAGATTAAAAATCTGTTAGTCTGCTTTAAAAAGCAAAAAAAAAAAAAAAAAAAAAAATATATGATGCATTTCTGTTTTATCTAGGACACTTCTTTTCTTTGTTAATGTCAAAAATATTACTACAGAATAATCTGATATCATCCATACCAGGCTGTGACTAACAGCTAGCTAGCTGGCACATTTTCTATGAGAGAATTTACATTTTAACAAGCTATTGTTCTCCACAGTTATAAGCACAATTGGTCAGATTCTACAAACAAGGTGATTCTTTATTTCCATAAGAGAGCCTTTTAAACCCCTGAAGGAAGACATATGAAAGCAATATCTACAGAAGTAAACAGATTTTGATTCAAAAGGCTGGATACAATTGGTAGAGTCTCTGACTATTATAAAACAACAAGTAGATCTCTGCTGTAGACTTAGCTTACAACTATTACCAGAAAAGTTCAGACTAACATTTGTGCATCATTACATTCAGACCAATACTGATATTTGAATTTTCATTTATCTTAGTGTGCAGCATCACTGCAACCGGCTGAGGTATGAAAATGGGATCAATATTATACAGATGGATACCAGGCATAACGAAGCATTGATACAGCTAAGTGAAGGGGTTTCATGGAGGGGTATTCAAATCAAATGATAGGATGAAGGGGAGAAGCGGGAACAGGGACATTCACTCCTTGAACTACTGAAAACAGTTCAAGCCCTGTTACAAGATGTCAAGCAGCTGGAGCACAATATTTTTATCTATAGGATACTGCATACTTTAGGGGAGGAAGTGGGGAGCCAAAGAGAAGAGGAAAAGGCTCAGTACTCATTCAGAGCATGCTCTTACCTCAACTTGGGGTAAACAGGGTTCATTAGGTACACAGTACTGTTAGTTATTTGGTCTCATTAGCCCTGAATTCAACTAGCTCTCATCATTTTTTCATAGCTTCTAATATAGCCAGTGTCAAGGCTGCTGCATACTTCGGGAGCTCTCTTCCCAGGCTGCACAAGCTGTGATATTAGCAGCCCAGAAATGGACTAACTACCATCATTTTCAAAACTTCTAATAAACAGCTCTCTGACAGCTTCTCCCCTCAATGTTTCTGGTGTAACTGGGATAACTCAGAGTACAAATGAGACTATTACAATTTATATACAGTAACTGGAGAATAAGTTAAGTTCCACTCCCTAATACTTTACTGTCTCTACTGTCCCCTCCTAAAACAGGGATATGCAAAACAGGACAAGTAGTTGCTTGTTTCATAAGAGTGATGCAAGAATTAGTTTATACCTATAAACTTATTCATATAAGAAGTGCCAATTACCACATTTACTCAGTCATTTTGAGTAAATGTACACTCAGCTCTGTATATGAACATGATCGTTAGAAACTGAAGCGCTCCAACAATAATTTTACTTTTGTATTTTTAACACCACAATAGGCTGCCACAGATGGCTGAC